CAGTGAATGGCAATTCCTCTCCACTGGCTACACAGCAAGACACAAGACAAGACAAGACGTTCTAGGGAAGGGGCAGTAAAAAACCAGAACAAACACTGCCCAAATAGTAATGTAGTAAGCATTTATTTTTTTCTTCAATTAGAGTATGTTTCTTTATTTACATTCTATTAACCATAGGGTTGGTAATGATAATCCAGTGTTTTTGCTCCACTTCTGTGTTCTACTGATCTGCATTCTTTTTTGTCTTTTGCTTCTCTCTCTCTCTCTCTCTCTCTCTCTCTCTCTCTCTCTCTCTCTCTCTCTCTTTTTATTTTATGACAGGGTCTACAGGGACTCACTGCATAGAGGATCACAGTGATCCTCCTGTTTACGGCCTCCCAAGTGCTGGGAATACAGGCACGCGCCACCACGCCCAATCTCAATCAATGTCTCAACATGCTCGGGAAGGACTGGGCTGGCAGGCAGGCCGAGGATCAAATTCCTGACCCCTGTGTCTGTCTAAGCAGGCTCTTTTATCTGCTGAGCTATTTGGCTGACCCTTCTTTTTTGTTTTCCTGATTTGCATTCTTGTATGTAATGCCTACTATGATGCTTTTTTTTTATACTGTCCTCCCAATTCACAAGTGAACATAAAGGCAGCATGTTCTCTATTTGCCTTTTAATTACTACCATTTTAAGATACTAATCAAACCCTCTAATTTTCTGACCTTATTGCTTTTTCTTACCCAATTCCAGAAGCCCTCCTCTCTTCTTTCTTATTCAGGTTATGGTATATAGTTCATCACTTGATTACACCTTTGGATAGTAGGTTTGGTGTAAATGTCACCCTGAAGGAGCCCAGTATCTCTATTTTACTATCTGCCTTGAACAATTCAAGTATTGCTTCAGAATGTTACACAGCAGGATAAATTCATGAATATCAGCAACAAAAATGACCTCCAATCAAGTCTAGAATCCTAGTAGGTTTCTGTGCTCAACTCACACTCCCTTTTACACTATTTCATACCTTTGCTATGATCGTCAAACTGCCAGGCCACCCACATTTTTCTGTAATCCTAACAAAAGACTGTCATTCTTTTTTTTTTTTTTTTATTTTTTTTTTTTTATTTGTGTGTGTGTGTGTGTGTGTGTATGTGTGTGTGTGTGTGTGTGTGTGGCCAGCTCAGCCCACCAGGGGGCGGGGCTGGCTGGCATGTGGTGCTGGGGGATTGAACCGCAGTCCCTGTGTGTGTGTGTGTGTGTGGCCAGCTCAGCCCACCAGGGGGCGGGGCTGGCTGGCATGTGGTGCTGGGGGATTGAACCGCAGTCCCTGTGCTTTGCTAAGCTTGTTCTAAGTAGGTGCTTTAGACCACTGAGCCATCTCACCAGCCCCGACTGTCATTCTTTGTAGAAAAATGAAGTTGCTGTGGGAATTCTCTAAACTCTATTACAAGCTGTCCTCAATTACAGCCATCTTATCCATCTTCTTTATCTTGTTTTCCTTCCTTTTCCTAAGACCTACTCCAATCTCTTATGCTTTCAAATCTCATCCTTAGGGGCCAGGGAGATGGCTCAGTAGAACAAGTGGTTCCCTGGCAAGTACAAGGGCCTGAGTTCAATCTCTGGCTCTGCCGGGGGTGGGGGGGAGAATCTCATCCTTTCCTACTTTTCTTAGAAACTTGGTATGCTTCCCCCGCTACCTCAGGGACATGATAGTCTCTATCACCACTGATGCTGCTTTCTATAAATTCAAAATTTTTTTTTTTTATTTTTTTGTACCGGTCTGACAGGTGCTAAGCCAACTATAAGGTCTTCATCTGTTTTTTTTTCTTTTTGTGGTACCGAGAATTGAACTCAGGACCTGGGACTTGCCAGGCAGGCACTAACTACTGAGCTATCTCCCCAGCCACCTCCCCCCCTTTTTTTTTAAACCAGGAACAGAACTCAGGACCTTGCACTTGCCAGGCTATATACCTGCTCCTAATGCTACTTATCTAGAGATAAGGTCTCACTATATAGTTCAGGCTGGCCTGAACTTGCAACTATCTTCCTGCCTGAGTCTCCTGAGTGTCAGGGTTACAAGTATGTGCCACCATGTTTAGATGTTGCTCTATTTTATCTGGAATATTTTTCCTTAATTCAACATAGTAATTAATAGTATATACATTTAAGCCAGACTACCTGGGTTCAAATCCTACCTCTGCCACTTATCCTATGTGACTTCACTTCATTAACCTGTACAAGAGTGGATGGAGCTGGACATAGTGTCACACAACTGGAATACCAGGATTTAGGAAGCTGAGACAGGAGGTCACTATGAATTCAAAGCCAGCCTGGGCTACAAAGTGAGTTCAAGGCCAGCTTCAACTGCATAATGAAATCTTGTCTCAGAAAGATGGAAAAAAAGAAAAAAAAGAAAAAAGTTAACAGTGCCTTCCTTATAAAGGTATGGGGAGGATAAATGAGTTATTATGTATGTTATTATTATGAGCCAGACAAGCACCTGGCACACACTAACTGTTCTATGTTTGCTGAATAAACAAACCTAAGATGTACTTGATTTTGAAGCCAGATTATATGTGTAAGCTTTGGCTCTAAGAACTATTATTTTTTTCTGTTTTGAAATAGGGCCTTGTAGGGGCCAGGGAGATGGCTCAGGGGAATATGCACTTCCCTGGCAAGTGCAAGGGCCTGAGTTCAATTCCCAGTTCCATAAACAAGTAAACAAACAACACAAGAAAGAAAAAAGAAATCCACTGGGCCAGGGAGATGGTTCAGTAGAATAAGTGCTTCCCCGACAAGCACAAGGGTCTGAGTTCAATCCCTGGTTCCACCCCCCCCCACCCCCCGCAAAAAAAGAAGAAAGAAATAGGGCCTTGTGGGGCCGGGAAGATGGCTCAGTGGAATAAGTGCTTCCCTGGCAAGCACAAGGGCCTGAGTTCAATCCCCAGTTCCACAAAAACAAACAAACAAAAACAAAGAAAAAAACAGAGAAAAAAAAAGAAAGAAATAGAGCCTTGCTATGTAGTTCACATTGGCCTGGAACTAATCACGCAGCCCAGATTGGACTTGAACTAATGATTGTCCTGCTTCAGCTTCCTAACTGCTGGGATTACAGACATGCACTACCATGCCTGACTTGGCTCTAAAACTTATATCCTGTGAGACCTTGAGCATATTACTTTACTTAACTACTCTATTTCCTCATCTGAAAACAGGATAACAACACCTACACCACAGGTCTATCATGATGATTAATGAGTTAATATAGAAAGGTGTTGGAGGGGCTGGAGAGATGGCTCAGTGGTCTAAAGCACCTACTTAGAACAAGCTTGGCAAGGCATCGGGGACCGCGGTTCAATCCCCCAGCACCACATGCCAGCCAGCCTCGCCCCCTGGTGGGCTGAGCTGGCCACACACACACACCACACTCTCTCTCTCTCTCTCAAATAAATAAAAAAAAAAAAAAAAATAAAAAAAAATAAAAAAAAAATAGAAAGGTGTTGGAAAAATCTTAAGATCACACAGCAAATATTGTATAATGATAATATTATTATTTTTCAGTTATTGCCACAAAGATAACTTCTTCATGTAAGCCTTTTATGAAGCTGTCAGGTATGGCAAGGAAATTCTGATTTGTACTCACAGCAATTCTTTCAGAATCTTTTCGTTTCTAATGAAAACTTCTAATAACTTGTTTACTGAGATTAACTTCTGTTTGTCCCACTAGATGTTAAGTTTCATGCAAGAAGAGACTACAATAGCCCTGACACTTTTTTTTTTTTGTGGTACTGGGAATTAAACTCAGGACCTTATGCTTGCCAGGGAAGTGCTTGTGCCACTTTGTAGACATATCCCAAAACTAAGTTTTTTCTTAAAAAAGAAATGGCTAACCAAAATCTAGATAATATAAAGATGTTATTTTCCATTGGAAAATTATCAGCTCACTTTGTAGCCCAGGCTGGTCTGAACTCTTCACAATCTTCCTCTCTCAGCCTCCCAAGTGCCAGGATTACAGGCATGTGCCACCATGCCCAGCTATAATTTTTAGATTTGAGAACACAAGTAGGTTTTACAGACCATAAATGAATATAACCAAGTTTTTTAAAGTTTTTGTTTAAAAGTTTAAAAATATATGACAAATGAATAACCACTAATTATCAGCATTCTCTTAACAACAAGTATCTGGGCTGGATGTGGTGGTGAATACCTGTAATTTTAGCATTCTGGGAGGCTGATGCAAGGAAGAGTGGAAATTCAAGCCTGACTTGGACAATATGACCAGACTTCATCTCAAAATTTAAACAAAGGGCTGAGGAAGTAACTCCCAGTTTCCCCTCCCACCATATACACATCAAGTGCTACAAAAAAGGTATATACACCTTCTTTGTTAGTATATCACTATAAAACCAGGAAGTCTGACACTAATTTTTATTATCCACAACCCATAATATGGTACATCATCTATTGCTTGTGCAATGGAATTCCAACAAAAGGGTTTCCTTTTTGGTAGTTTCTTGAAACATCCTACCATTGAACTATATTCCCAGGAGCCAGGGAGATGGCTCAGTAGAATAAGTGCTTGCCTGGCAAGCACAAGGGGCTGAGTTCAATCCCCAGTCTGCCAAACCACCCGCACCTCCAAAAAGAATTACATCCCCAGTCCTAAGCTTTTTTGGCTGAATGGGTTAAGATGAAAACACTACAAAGTGGGCAGGCTGCCTTCCTGTAGGGCTAACGGTGCAAGTGGAGTTCACAACCCACGAGCAAACATGAATACCTGCCCTGCTTAAAATGCTGATGATTCCTGACACCTTCTGAAAAGACTTCAAACCTACATTCTACCTTCTAATTTTCTTGTAGTAAATCACTACAAAATAATAAATGACAGCATGTCTAATATTTAAAGTCAATACAAATTTTGTATGAAGCATATAGTGGCCATAGCATTCTAATATAGGGCTCACTGAGTAACTTTTTATTCATGAAAGAAAACTCTAAACTATCACAACAACTCATACCTGGTGTGTAAGTAAAACGTTGAGACTGGCTTTTTTTCCTCTTGCCATTGCAAAGATAAAAGTGCACCTGCACTGCAGCTGTAACTGCTGGGTTATGATAGGGAGGAACTTCAAGGACAATGTGAGCCTAAGGAGCAGGGAAAGCAAGACTGTGTTACATTCAGAACTAAAAATGAAACACACCTGCTAAATTCAGAGAAACTCATGAGCCTTCACTACAAGGCTCTCCCATTATATGTATATCAACCAGTCAATAAGTCATCTGGAGATTTATTATACATGTAGATACTTCAGAGCTGACAGAGGCAAACCCTTTAATCGTTAAAGGAAAAACTGCATTTTTATTTTGAGATGAGGCCTCACTATGCTGCTTACAAACAGTGAGCTTAATTAATCCTCCTGCTTAAGCCTTCCCAAAGTTGGAACTACAGACATGCATTACTCCCTGAACCACATAGTGAGACTTGGTCTCAAAAAAAGAAAAAGAAAGGACTGGTCAAACAGCTCAGCGGATTAAAGTGCCTGCAAGCAGGTGCAGGGGCTAGGGGTTCAATCTCCGGGTCTGAGGTGCCGGTCCTGCCCCAGGGCAAGCTGAGATAGCAGTTGAGACTGGTCATGGTGGTGCATGCCTGTAATTCCAGCTCTTGGGAGTCTGTAAATAGGCAGATCACTATGAGTCTGATCTAGTAGTGAGACCCTGAATACCCTGAAGACCCTTCCCTAAAAGTACAATAAAAAAAAGAACAACAATCAAAAAAGGGATGGGGAATGTAGCTCAATGGTAGTGTCTCTGAATTCACTCCTCAGTAGCACAAAAATTACAGAGGGAAGGGTAAAAATCTTTGGTCCCCCACCAAATATAATCTTCAACCTAATTGCTACAAGTCTTTAATAAGCACTGAGGTGAGATGGTATTTCCTAGCTCACAGAACACTTTATCTCCAGTCCAGAGATTATAAGGGACCACAGTCCTCATTTCTCAAAGGTTTATAAGGAATCTTAGGAGTTTGGCGTAGTGTACATTAAATACACAAATTGCTACCTTCCTATTTTTTTGGCGACTATATGTGTTCTTTACTGAACTTGTTTTGACTTACTGAATTAAAATAAATAAATTAATGGTAAGATAATCTATAAAATTTTGCTTTATTTCTAACTCATTTCTTTTCTTTCCCCCTAGTAGTAGGCAATGAACCTAGGGCTTTTGCAATGTGCTAAATCCTCAGGCCTTTTTCACTTTCTCTTGTGAGACTGAGTCTCATTAAGTTGCTAAATTGCTGAGACTAGACTCAAACTTGCGAGCCTCCTGCTTCAGCCTCTGAGAGAGCTAGGATTACAGGTATGTGCCATAACTCTGACAAATTGTTTTCTAAAATATAAAAAAAGAGGGGCCAGGGAGATGGCTCAGTGGAATAAGCGCTTCCTTAGCAAGCGCAAGGGCCTGAGTTCAATCCCCAGTTCCGCAAAAAAAAAAAAAGAAAAGAAAAGGAAGACACACATGTTGTTCACCTGTCCTAACCTTTCGTACCAGAAAAGTAGAATTTCCAAACTTCTAACAATTCTAA